AAAAAAAAAAAAAAAAAAAAAAAAAAAAAAAAAAAAAAAAAAAAAAAAAAAAAAAAAAGAGAGAAAGAAATCAGTCTGATATCTATTTGAATATCACGATGGGATTGAAAAGAAAGTTCAGAACCATCTTGGAACCTAAATAAACGCCTCTCGCGATCTGATTTACGCCAATTGTATAGCTCTGCCTCTTGTACGACTTGAGATCAATGGCATGGCAAACGTGACAGCCAGCTTCTTGGAGCATGACGTGAGGACCGGAACCTCCCAACAACGACTCACTCTCGAGTCCGAGATTCGACAACGTACCGGTAAACCAGATTTTGTCGCCAGGGTAGATGTTCAAGCTGAAGTTGGCGAACGAGTTGTCACCCAATAGATGTACTTGAGCGTTGCTTACCCATATGCCGCTCTTCATTTTCACAGATATCTCAAATTCGTGCTGATTCCAAGCGAATAGATGACACCGGCTCTTTTTCCTTCGAACGTTCAGATTCGTTTTACAGTTCAATTTGCGCAATTCGTTGGTGTACCTGTGAGCAATCAAACGTTACTGCTTTTGCATATTTTTGGTGATGATTAAAAAAAAAAAAATAATAATAATAATACTCACTTGTTGCAATCATCCGTGTGAGGCTCACCAAAAGCACAACGCAACGGATTAGCCATTACATCAGGAAGTTGATCGAGCACAAGAGCAAGATTATTGCGGATGGATTTGACGCGAATGTTGGTAATGTAGCCTTCCCAAGATATAGAAACGCCTTCGAGCTGAGCGCACTGGACTTGGATTTGCGCCTTGGACGCTGTTTCCTCCCAAGCTGGCTGATGACAGTAGTTTTGGTACTGCTCCCATGACAGATCCGACGAAATCACCTCGAACGGATTAGTTTTAATGTCCGTCACGTCGTTGTAGCCGATCAACATTGGCCACAAGAGAAAGGCCCCACCAATGGTACCGAAAGTGATCTGCATGCAAGTGATAATCCAGTTAAGCCTGCGCGATGTCCTGGTTTTTCTCGAGTACCAAGAGGCCAAAAACGGTATGCCCCCGAGCGTGACTGTCATCCCGATTCTCATGACCAAATCGCTCTCGGACAAGTACTTGACGGCAGCGACGATTGGTAGGACGATCGAAGCTAATCCAACGATCGGTAGAAACAGTACCATGCCAACCAGAGCCAATGCACCTCGAATCAATCCGTACCACGTAGCACTCTGCGAACTGAGGACGGCCAATTGCCACCAGCTGAGGGACACGCAGTGTGGTATGAGCGACTTGTAAGTCCCACGCCAATTGTCCCTTGCGGCCATTTTTACGAACACCGCGGGTATCAGGAGATAAAACACAACGCGAAAGTTTAGACAGAACTCTATACCGTTGCCGACGACGTAAGAAGCAAAAGTGGGGACTTTGATGTCGAGAAAGCGCCAGGTTTCCGCAACCACCTCGTCCATCTCGTAGGGGTACTTGGCCAGGACGTTTACACCGAAACTGAACAGCGCCAGTAAATCTGGAAATCTCGAGCTCCCGTCGCGCCAAGCAAAATTCAACAAAGTTACGATGGTAAGGGCCAAAGCTATAACGGTAAACTCGGACTGAGGCGTCCATTGAGTAGCTACTATTGGAAAGAGCATGAGATTGAGCAGCAACGCGAGGAAGAAGTGAGCGTACGGTTTGATATTGTTACGACAGTACTGGTACTCGGCTTCTTCGGGATTTAAACTACCGCCCGAGTAGCTTAAGAATAGCCTCGACCATACCCTCAGATCAGAAAGTTCGCGCTTTCGTTGAAGTATCTGGAACGTTGCGAGAATCATTACGACGAATGACAGATAGTAGAATGCCAGGGGTACGAACAGCACGACGCTCTCGGCGCCGAGAAGCGCGTGCAAGAGGATCAAGAGTAAGGTGTGCAAATGACTCGTGAAGAAGATTTTGCGCAGAGGTAAATTTCGGTGACCGAGAGTTTCCACTAGCCAGATGTAAAAGCGCTTTAGAGAGGCTAAAGGGTGGACGAAGGGACGTTGCAACAGTGGCACGGCATCGAGGTCCATCTGAGCTGGTTCCACCAAACAGATCACTCGAGAGACCACTGGTAGCGCGCCTCGCGCGTACGATGCAGCGGCAGATACGAGGGCCGCCTCGCTTATTTTTTCGCCTTGATGTTCCGACCAGTCTTTTGAAAAAAATTAAACAAATGAGTTACTAATTTTATGCCGTAATGATTCATTTTTACGTCTTACCTGGGGGTATTTCTTCGATTTTTTCTTTCTCTTTGTAAGATTCGTCCTGAGTCGAATCATCCTCCGATTGTGAATCTTGATCGCAACTGTCTCCAGTCAAGGACCTTTGAAGATGACTTTTGCCATTTACGTATCTGAATTTATTATCATTACTAGTGGAAGGAAACACCAAGTTCCTCATGCATCTTTGCAATTGTTCGGTTGTGATGAATTCTTCGCCATTTGATAAACTGCAAAATGGAATTAAATTCGTTGCCTATTATGATTCAGCCATGGATTATGATAAACAAAACAATTGTACATACTTTGTGAACATTTCTCTGGCAGCCCTTCTGGCTAGCTTTTCATCCTGAGACATGTCTAGGCAGCTTTTTACATCATAGTAATTCTGCTCAGTGATTCCTCTTCCAGAGGCCAAGCATTTGCATAGCATATCTGTGGCTTCCAAGTTTCCTTGCTCTGAGGCTTTGGTCAACCAGTAAACACCCAATTTGGCATTTTCCTCTTTGTCAACATCTAGTTCTGGAAATTTTACATTTTTAAAAAATCAAGTTAGTAAATAATTTGCTTACAGTTGTTTATCACCTACCACAACATTCATCCAACAATTGTTTAGCTAATACAACTTGAGACTCAGGGCAACCATCTTCAGCTAGTTGAGAGCGTAGTCTTCTCAGAGAACCTTTAGGTCCATCTAATCAAAAATATGACTCGATTAATTTTTAATACAATAATTTAAACAACTGAAATATCTCATCATAAGTGGCAAATGTATTTCATACAAAATTTGTTTGCCATTAATCAAGTTTTAGCGTGAATAAAAGTTTATTTTTTAAGATGCATTCAAAGTAATGGCTAAACATATCTTGATGGCATCTGAAAACAACAACTATTTGGCATCCAGCACCAAGAATGCACTTTGAGACCTTTACTTGTTTCTCCAATAAGTATGTACTCTCTTGGATCTAAAATAAATGCGTGTCTGTGAAACAAATAACTTAAAAAAACAACCAGACTTTTATTCGCCTAATGTTTCATTTACTCAACAAGATAGATTATGGTTTACGAAATGTGAATTAGTTAAAAAGATAATTAAATAATAATTGATACTTAAACATGATTTTGAATAGCCTACTATTTATTATTGTAGAACTAAAAAACAAGTCGCACGTGGAGTCACTTTGTAAAACAAAGAAAAAAAAATTGCACAAAATATATTAAATTACAATTGAAAAATCGATAGTCGATCGACTGCCAAGCAAACTATTGAAACAACGAATCACACCAGTGAAATTTTAATTCAAAACAACCAACTTAACAGCAACGATACTTAATAATGCAAATTAAAACACACTGAATAGCCGATGATCAAAATATACTTTGGTGCGGAAGAAGTGACAAAAGCGCGAAACACTTGCAATAAACCCCACGAATGGCAAAAGTTTTATTTGAATCGAAAGGAAAAGCTCACCGTGAAGGGTCCACTGTTTCCTGCCCGATTTCCCGGACAGCGGCACGACACCGGCCATGTCTCGCTCGTCCCCTGCTGCTTCTGGCTGGTCCACTGCGCTCTTCTACAGTGCCAGGATAAGTATCCACTCTCTCTGCCGCTATACTATTACGGTCAAGTAAAAAAATACCAAAGTCACGAAGAGAAGCGAAAAAAAAACAATACCTATCTTAGGAGCACTCAAAGAAAGACAACCAAAAAATATCTTTCTAAGAATACCTGGTGCATTGAATAAAGTACAATATATAAAACACCATACACTAGAAAGGAGAAGAGACGCTTCTCTTCTTTTTTCTTTTATTTTTAGTTTTTATATAGGTAACACGTTTGATACCACGCAAACGCTTCGCTTTTTTTCTCTCACCTGTGTTGTGAATTGTGAAGATGATGCTGCGCTGGAGCATCATAATCTGCGATTTCGCTTTCGCTTTCCCTCTCTTTGGCCTTTTTGCTTGCTCCTTTTTTTCTCTCTCTCTCTCTCTCTCTCTCTCTCTCTCCTTTTGCGGGTTTGTAGGTTAAGCTATTAGCTATGAGTGGGGGGGCTTATGCGCGCGCGCAGCGCTTAATATAAATATATGTGTATGTGTATTACACAATTGTACCTTGTACGTAAACAATGTAAACATTAAACATATTCAAGTGTATTACACACACATAGAATAATAATGAGAAAGTACGAAATACCGGGAAATTTGAAAAGCCATGCCTCAGTCTCTTATTGGCTAACATCGCGTACTTAACGTAATTTTTTTACTTGGACGAATGCCTGCAAGGTCGATGTTCCAATAAGGATCACGAAGGATCACTTACTTTTTTCCGACCTTCTTGGCCGTAGGTATAAGTACCTATGTACTTTCAATCGAATATAATTTATACGTACGTATAATATACGTATATAATGCACTTTAGTTATCTGTCGATGTTACGGTACGTCAAGTTCATTTTCCAATTGCTTTTCTTAATATTCGTGGGCTTTCATGATATCGACTTGAAATTATTCTAATTAAAAAAATAACCAATGGATTTATTTGGTTTCATTGATCATTTGATCAGGGGCAGGGGTACCATTTGATTTTCCCTGGGGTCGAACATTACTTCGGATTACCATATAGAGAGGACTCGAAAAAAGGAGATTGAGAAGTATACCTGACGTTCTGTATAATGGTGCAAGTGAGGTGAATCAGTTTGCAAATGTTAGTGACCTTTTTGCATACCAACGACGGTTACAACAGTGGACGGTACGGTTTAAAAAAAATAAAATAAAAAAATAAAAAAGGATGGAGATGGCATCGAGAAGGACAAAAAGTCGCAGGAAAGGGGACACACGCGCACAAAGTGAATCTGTTTGCAATGGTGCTGATGCTGTTCTGTTTGATAGTGTTGCTTTTCGTTAAATATTTATTAGAGAGTGCGAGACACTGCGTGTTGCGTTTTCTCTCGAGATGCGTTCTATTGGATTTTTTTTTTTTTTTTTTTTTTTTTTTTTTTTTTTTTTTTTTT